TTGGTCTCTCATTTCTTTCAGAAACTGAAAAAACTAATCACACACCTTTCTAAAGAAATAATTGCATATTATTGAAATTACATGCCATTAAAGGGAAAAGCATTGCCATGTTATAGTTCATAGAATCATAGAAAATAAGGGTTGGAAGGGACCTCAGGAGGTCATCTTGTCCAACCTCCTGCTCAAAGCAGGACCATCCCCAACCAGATCATCCCAACCAAGGCTTTGTCTAGCTGGGTTTTAAAAACTGCCAGGGATAGGGAGTCCATAGCCTTTCTGGGTGACCTGTTCCAGTATTTTACTACCCTCCTAGTGAGAAAGTTCTTCCTAATATCTAACCTAAACTTCCCCTGCTGTAACTTGAGACCAACTGATCCTTCTGTCATCTGCCATCACTGAGAACAGCTTAGCTCCAGCCTCTTTTCAACCCTGTTTCAACTACTTGAAGTCTGCAATTACTTCCCCTCTCAGTTTTCTTTTCTCCAGACTAAATAAGCCCAGTTCCCTCATCCTCTGCTCATAAGTCATGTTCCCCAGCCCCCTAACCATTTTTGTTGCCCTCTGCTAGACTCCCCACAATCTGTCCACATCATTTCTGCAGTGGGGAGCCCAAAACTGGACACAGTACTCCAGATGTGGCCTCACCAGTGCTGAACAGAGGGGAAAAATCGCTTCCCTCAATCTGCTGGCAACACTCCTACTAATGCAGCCCAGTATGCTGTTAGCCTTCTTGGCAACAAGGGCACACTGTTGGGTCATACTCAGCTTACTGTCCGCTGTAACCCCCAGCTACTTTTCTGCAGAGCTGCTGCTTAGCCAGTTTGCCCCCAGCTTCTATCAGTGCATGGGGTTGCTCCGTCCTAAATGCAGGACTTTACACTTGTCCTTGTTGAACCACATGAGATTTCTTTTGGCCCAATCCTCCAATCTGTTGAGGTCTCTCTGAATCCTAGCCCTACTCTTCAGTGTATCTCCCAGTCCCCACAGCTTGGTGTCATCTGCAAACTTGCTGAGGGTACACTACTTCCCATTTTCCAGGTCACTGATGAAAACGTTGAACAAAAACAGCCCCAGGACCAACCCCTGAGGGACTCCACCTGATACCAGCTGCCAATTAGACATTGAGCCATTGACAACTACTCTCTGAGCCTGATGATCCAGCCAGTTTTCTATCCACTTTACTGTCCATTCATCCAACCTGTACTTACTTAGCTTTCACGCGAGAATGTTGTGAGAGACCATATCAAAAGCCTTGCTAAAGTCAAGGTATATCACATCCACTAGTTTCCCCATATCCACAGAGCCAGTCATTCAAATATAATAAAGGGCTTAGTGTGTTTGGCTGTGTGTCTGTCTGTTTGTAATGTTTTTGGTCAACTGTGCATGTGCTGCCAAGAGGGTGGGTGGCAACTGACTGGGGAGGATGGCGATTTGCTCAGGAGGCAGAGACGGAGGTGGGCAGGGGTGGAGGCAGACGTGCATGCACCCAACAGCCGACAGGGAGGGGGAGGCATTGGGGATGGAGGGGAGTAGGGAGGGGAGGGGAGGCAGGGAGGTGGGGAGAAACCCCGCTGGCTCAGGGGAGGATGCGGAGGCAGGTCTGGGGAGGGAGCACCCATGCCGGTGGCTGGAGGAGGAGGCAGCGATGGTGCAGAGAGTGTTTATATGGCTGGTCCCAAAGGGTGAGCGGGGGGTGACCATGTAAACACTCCATTATTGTAAATCCATCATTCATGATGAGCAATTGACTAGTGTCATCATAAAGGAAATCAGAGTGATCAGGCTTGACTTGCCTGGTGAATCCATGCCAACTGTTCCTAATTACCTTCTCCTCCGAGTGCTTAGAAATAGATTCCTTGAGGATCTGCTCTATGATTTTTCCAGGGACTGAGGTGAGGCTGATAAGTCCTCCTTCTTCCCTTTCTTAAAGATGGGCACTATATTTGCCCTTTACCAATCATCCGGGTCCTCTCCTGATTGCCACAAGTTCTCAAAGATGATGGCCAGAGGCTCTGCAGTCACTTCAGCCGCAGCATCCTTGGGTGCATCCCATGGACTTGTACATGTCCAGCTTTTCTAAATAGTACCTAACATATTCTTTTGCCACTTTGACTACTCACCTCCTCCCCAAACTGTGCTGCTAGGTGCAGTAGCCTGGGAGTTGACCTTGCCTGTAAAGGCTGAGGAGAAAAAGGCATTAAGCCTTTAAGCCTTGAGCCTTTTTTGTATCCTCTGTCACTAGGTTGCCTCCCCCATTCAGTAAGGGACCCATACTTTCCCTGACATACATTCAGAAATCCTTCTTGATACCTTTTACATCCCTTGCTAGGTGCAACTCCAATTGTGCTTTCACCTCCCTGACTTCATTTCTGCGTGCCAGAGCAATACTCTTATACTCCTTCTTAGTTGTTTCTCCAAGTTTTCACTTCTTACAATCTTCCTTTTTGTCATTTATCTCACTGAAGAGTTCCCTGCTAAGATAAGCTGGTTTTCTGCAATACTTGCTATTCTTCCTGCACATTAGGCTGGTTTGTTCCTATGTCCTCAGTAAGGCTTCTTTAAAGCACAGCCAGCTCTCTTGGCTTCCTCTCCCCCTCAGACTGGCTTCCCAGGTGATTCTGCCCATGAGTTCCCCAAGTGAGTCAAAGTCTGCTTTTCCGAAGTCCAGTTTTCTGTGAGTCTTCTGAAGTCTGCTTATTCTGCTGCACTCCATCCTTCCTTTCTTCAGGATCCTGAACTCAAGCATCTCATGGTCATTGCTGCCCAAATTGCCATCCACTACTTACACTGCCCTCTAATTTTTCCCTGTTTGTGAGCAGCAGGGTCAAGAAGAGCATAGCTCCTAGTTGGCCACTCCAGCACTTGCACCAGGAGATTGTCTCCAACAGTCTGCAAAAACTTCCTGGATTGCCTGTGCACTGATCTATTGCTCTCCCACCAGATATCAAGGTGATACAAGTGCCTCAAGAGAGCTAGGGTCTGTGATCAAGAAACTTCTACTAGCTGTTTGAAGAAAGCCTCATCCACCACTTCCTTCTGGTCTAGTGGTTTATAGCAGACAACCACCACAATGTCACCCTTGTTGCTCTCCCCTCTGATCCTAACCCAGAGACTTTCAACAGGCCTATTTCCAGTTTCATACTGGAGCTCGGAGCAATTATACAGCTCTTTAACACAAAGCTAAACTTCTACTCCTCTTCTCCCCTGCCTGTCCTTCTTGAACAGTTTGTACCCATCCATACCAGTGCTCCAGTCATGCAAGCTACCCCACCAAGTCTCTGTTATTCCAATCGCATAGTTCTGTGACTGTGCAAGGATTTCCAATTCTTCTTGCTTTTTTCCCAGGCTACGTGTATGCATGTTCAGTCACCAAAGGTAACTAGCTGATTGCCCTGATTTCTCCCCTCCTGCTTGCACTTCCTCCAGGTCATCCACTTTCCTGCTTACCTCAGGGCTTTGGTCTCCATTCCCTGGCAAACCTAGTTTAAAGTCTTCCTCATTAGGTTAGCAAACCTGCCTGTGAAGATGGTCTTCCCTCTCTTTGTCAGATGGATCCCATCTCTTCCTAGCAATCCTTCTTGGAACAAGAACCCATGGTCAAAGAAGCCAAAACCCTTCTGGTGACACCAACTGTGTAGCCAGGCATGGATCTGCAGGATGTGTTTTCTCCTGCCCGGGCCCTTCACCATGACCAGAAGGATCTAGGACAACAACACCTGAGCCCCTGTCCCCTTCACCCTTGCACCCAGAGCCCGGTAGTTACTTTTGACCTGCTCAGGGTCTCCCCTCACAGTATCATTGAGGCCCACATGGATGAGCAGCATGGGGTAGTAGTCAGAGGGCCAGATGAGTCTCAGTAATCCTTCTGTGATATCTCAGATTCAGGCTCCAGGCAAGCAGCAGATTTTGAGTCAAAAGCGAGTCTTCAGCCACCATCACATGTTGCTTCTTCTTGGTGGCAGTGGTCTCGATCCTTCCAACTTTGGTGAGGCCTAGCCTGTCCTCCTCCACCAATGGAACATGCTTGTGACAGGGGGCCATTCCTGGGCCTGTCCAACGTTAGCCTGGTCCTCTGTTTATGGGTTAACCACCCTCCTTTGTCTCCCATGCCTTGATGGAATAATAATTATGATGTTACTCAGGCAGGAGGCTGCCCATTTACTATACCAGGGGTTGCTATCCACTGCTCCGAATATGGCGCGCGCGCGCGCACACACACACACACACACACACTCATTTTTAAAACATTATGTTTTTTATGGAAAATTTTAACTAAAATAATCTCTAGTGAAGTAATTGGGATAGTTACTAAAGGTATTTAAAAAAATCCTGGAAGTTCTCTCTTTTGATTCACTAGGCTTACTAGTATTCAAACCTACTAATTTATTTTAATTTATTTTAAACAATGTTCCTATCAAAACTGAAACCTGCCTAGACACACTTAAACTGGCAGCAGAACTGCACCACACTGTTTACATCACATCAGGATTAAAACCAAATTAAAATGTCTCAAATCTACAGGAATGACATTTTAATCAATACTACTGAAATCAGAATTAGGCCTTTATCCATACTGTTTTTAAAATGGTGCTATTTGGTTGCAGGTAATAGAGCAACCACTCTGGCTGACCACATAACACTGGACTACAGCCAGTTATGTCCCCTCATCTTGGGTTAGAATGGTAGGAAGGATACCCTTATTGATAGGGCATTAGACTGTGACTTAAACAACCTCAGTTCAATTCTTAGCTCAGCCAACATCCTTCTTTTCTGTAACTGTGTGCTAGTCACTGCAACGACCCTGCATTTCAGTCCCCCATCTGCAATGAACAATGCCTAGTACTCCCTTTGCTCAGATATGTGCAGATGAGGGATATATAAGCAGACATATAAGATGAGGAAAAGGAAAGGGCCTTTGGCATTTTGTCACCTACTAGTATAATAAGCAACAGAAAGGAATAAAAGCAATTGAAAAGGCTTGCATATTTTCATTTACTTACTTTTCTGGTTTTAGATCCCGGTAAATAATTCCAAGACTGTGGAGGTGATCTAAAGCCAAGGCCAGCTCAGCTAAGTAGAACTTGACGTCCTCTTCTGTAAACATTACCTAGCCAGAAACAGAAGGACAAGTTTATTTATGACACAGTAAGAGACTGACTTGCTATAAGCAACCACAGGGGAGAAATCTCTAACTCTGAAATGCCAGAAAGACCAGAAGATAAGATTCACTCTGCCAGTATTTGCCTGAAAGCATATAAACCATTTTTATCAGGTCCTCATTTCTTACAAAGCAAAAATGTATTAATTCTTTCTATCACTTAAAACATGCTGCTTTCATTCTTCTTTCTGGTATGCTTAGACAATATCACATACTTATTAACATTCGGGCCTGATGCTATAGCCATTGAAGTCGATAGGAAAATTTGTGAGTTTACAGCAAGATCCTTAGAGGATGTCTATATTACTACCACTGTAATTTTGTGCTTGCTGCTGAGAGGACTGCGCACCCCCACCTGTGACTTGCTCCACATGCAGAAATAAGGCAGAGAAGCTGCCTTGAAAGTGACTTCCCAACCCCAATGCCACTGTGCTCAAACTCCCTCCAGAAGGATTCCCTACCTTATTTCCAGGTTTGGTTTGTGATTTGGTGGGCATGGCCATACTTTTGGGCAGCACACACAAGAACACCAACCGTATCCTTGATACCTGGATGTACTTTTAGTTCACTAAAATCTCAACATTTCATTCACAAATTCCCATAAACTGAGATGTGGACCTGTTCTGAATGAAAATGAATTTACATGTATGGCAAAGTGGGGCTCTCCGCCTAGCCACAGTGCTAGGTTCCCCACTTGCCTTTGGGCACACCACCCACCTGACTTTCTTGCCATGCCTTGTTCTTAGTTAATTAATAGTTGTTAATTAAGGCAGGAGGCTGCCCATTCGTGCCCTGATGCCAGGGGGCACTATCTGCAGCTCCGTACCTCCCCTACATTGCAGCCCATGCCTTGCAGATGGCATCCTGATGTTACAGTGCTCCCAAGCTTAGGCCTCATCGTCAGGCCTCAGTCACACACACATTCATACCGCCCTCCTCTCACCAGGGCCTCTCACACAGGGTCTCTTTCATGCATCGACAACTTATTCTGCCTTGCTCCCTTTTGAAGCGGGCCCCTTAGGACATAGGCTTAGCTAGTCCATTCCTTGGGTGGCAGACGTATAGTCTTTTGGGCCTCTCCCGCTCCCCTCCCCAGGGTACTGGCCAGCCAATTACCCAACCAGGTCTAAGCTTGCTCTGGACCCTTCCAGGGGCAACTCTATAAATACATATGTAAGCACACTGGGCTTTCAGCCCTCTGGTTTTTCCCCCTGCTTTACTGGGGCTTCTCATCACGGACCCCTCACTGGGGCTCCACACAGCCCCCTCACTGGGACTACTCATTTCTGCCCCCCTCACTTGGGGCTTCAGATCTCCACCCCCCTCACTGGGGCCACCCCCTCACTCAGGGCTACACACCGCCCCCTCACTCAGGGCCATGGGGGCTCCCCTTCCTGGTGGTCTCAGGTGGCCATAGCTGTGCCTGGGCCCAACTACATTTTCTCTGGGTCTTGCACCCCCCCACAGGGCTCAGGTGGCCGCAGCCATGCCTCGCCCCCATCACCAGCAGGTGATATTGCTGCCTGGGCTGCCAGCAGTGAACTGCCTCGTCTATATGGACGGCCAGAGCTTTAAAATGGCCACCGCAATTAAGCACCTGTTGGCTGCTTGGCCCCAGTCTTAAAGTGGCAGGCGCCAACAGTGCCCCGCCACACACCCTCCCCCCTTAAATTGTACAAGGAGGATGTTTCCCCTGCTGCTCCTCCAAGCAGGCTCTCCTCAGAGTCTGTGAGAACCCTAAAGTGGCACGCACCCCAAAGGTGCTCCTTCACACACCTCCCCCCTTAAATCTGGGGGGGTTCACCTGGATGCCTTTCCTGCTGGGCTCTGCCCCAGCCTACTACAACCCCTGCCATGTGATGAGCCCCCACCAGAGGTGCTCCACCACAATATGCTTTCTGTTTTAGAAATTAAACAATGGCACTCTGTAGTGGAGGGTTGCGCCCTTGTCTGAATGCGGACGAGAGCCTCATAGTTAGCTTCCCACTGGCCAGTTTCCAGTGGGAGGATCTTGGCTACATGCTGATTTTTATGGAAATGGGAGACTCCTCCCTAGCTTGCTCCTGCAGCCATACAGCTGAGGGAAAGCAAAACCTTGGGGGCATCTGAACCCCAAGCCTCTAGGGTTAGGCCTGTACAAAGGATGCCTGCAAAAAGACCTGGGAGTATCTGAAGACCCAGGCTGAAAAGTCTGGGGTGGAGGATACTTGCCAGTAGTAGGGCCACGTATGGTTCTTGAATGAGTCAAAGGATTTGAAACTGATCTGGCTAATTTGACCTGGGGCATGAAAAATTTTCGATTAAAAAAAATCCCCAGAAACTGAAAGAGAGGGTGTCATGGCTGGCCCGGTGTCTCAGTACGTCCATGCTTGGTGCCAGTTCCCTGTGGAGTTTTTGGAGGGGAGGGTGTTGGAGCTTGCTCTGGCCCCTCTGAGTGTTGGTCTGGTATTGCAGTACCTTCAGGTCTGGTGCTTGTTCCCTCCTGGGGGGAGCAACTGCCAGTGTTCTTTTAAGGGCTTTGCGCACTAGAAAGGTCCCTATCAGTATGTTTACCCCATATGGTCATCTGTTTTATAGTCATGCTCAGTGTTGGCTGCATTTAATCAATGTCATAGTTGGTTTCCGTTACTGAGCACATGCTGCTTTTGACAGCAGTTTAATGACAGACAATGTATTTAATGAGTTTTCCTTGTATGCAGTTATAAGATGAGGGGCTTTTCCCCTCATGCTGACTTAGGGGTGGGGGAAGCACCTCCTCTTGTATTTGAGTAAATATGGTATTTTTTCAACCTATAACTAAAGGGTCATTAGAAAATGTGTATATATGTAACTGTGCAGGAAGATAAGAATACACATTGAGCATAAAAGCATAAATATATAATGTAAAAGTAAATAGAACAAGCCACCTCAATAAATATTTATACTACATACATGACTAAGAATTACTCAGCATAGTAGTGACTAGAAAAGTCCATTGCTGAAAAAAGCTGAAATATTCAAAAGCTCAGATTCAAAATTGCAGGAAACTTGAAACAGAAACTGAAGAACAAGAGATTGATAGAAAAAGTTACATAATCCTAATTAAGGATACTACTACTCGGGCCATAAAGCATCAGGATTTTGAACTGAAGACCTTGATTTTAAAAAAAAGAAGTTTAAGCATAAAAGTAAATATACTCCATCTAGGATATGCAATTTAAGCAGGAAAGGAAAGCAAAGGAAGAGAGGAAAATAACTAATCTCTATCTTCATATCCTATGGAAGATATGCATTGCAGAATGACAGACTAATACATTCAGCCACAGCTTTTCAGACTCACATATTGTAATACTATGCACTTTGTTCTAAATCTAGTTAAGTCAATGGGAGTAGAATCAGTTATCCAACTAGGAAATCATAACCAACACACTTTTTTCTATAATGTTTTCTGCCACATTATCTTGGCAGAGAACAACCAATGAGTAGAGATCAACAAGATGTAACTAAGAGTTGTAGACCTTGAAATCCAATTCATATTGAGAACTACCAAGGTGCTGGGACTAATGCTTGAAGGCTAAAGGTCAAGGGAAGCCAGTACATCACTATGGGACACACTCAGGAAGAAGCTGCACTTTTTAGAGTTGAACATAAATCTGAGGCTAGCATTTAGACTTTGAAAAAAAAAAAACCCTACTTTATCTGACATAGTTCTTTATCTGTTCAGAATTTATGATTTTACTTTGGAGGCAAGATACGGTATCTCTCCTACCAAAGATGAGATGATTTGTATAAGAAGCCAATAGATCGTGGCCATTAAAAATTGCTGTCACCACAAACTGGAGATATTTACCTTTCTTAACATACATTTATTTTTGTTCTCTTTAGTACTTTTTTCATTTAAAAAAGCCTTCCTGCTGTGTTTCAGATGCCTACATAACATTGTAAGTATTGTTCTCTGTGCAGTTATCTACCTGGGATTAAACTCCTTCACACCAACAAGCAAGACTTGTTCTCGCCATCTTTATTCCACCCACAATTCTCTGACTCAGTTACAGCAGATACAGTAACACTCCTATCAGAATGCCATTTTAAAATTCATATCATATTTTAAAGATCTAGCTTTAGATCTAATTGAGCATTTTCCACACCACAGAGTGAGAGAAGAGCTGGGACAAATTACCCAGATATTACTCTAATGCCATCACAGACAGAATTCATACTGGACCAGAAATGACTCCTCAAAGAGTCTAGTCTGGGGAGGATATTGGATGCCCTGGAGTTGCCTTTTAACTGATAGGGTGTCACTGTGGCAAGCCAGTAGGGGGTGCTCCTGCACTGAGCCAGCCACCTCACTGTGCCTGACCACCTTCCAGGCTCCAAGTGCCTCCCTGGGGCTGCCTCACGTCTGGCCGACCCCCTTCCTGGAGCACACCCGCTAGCCTGGGGGTATTGTTGCCACCACCCAGGGGCTGACCGGATCCTGACTCTGTACCTCCCAGGATAACACAGGCCTAGTCATCCTTGAGGGTACCCAACCCACTTCAAGAACTTGGGATGCTTCCCTCAGTCTGCAGCACAAATAGTGGTCTCCCTTAGTCAGCCAAACCAAGGGTACCCCAAGGCATAATTTAGACCCACTCCCAATAAGTCTCCCATGTTAGGTACAAAGGAGAACTTTATTGGTTACATGGAGTAGGTTCGGAATAGGATACAGAGTAGAGCGATATCAGAGAAATCCCATAGAGCAAATTGGCACAGCTGGGTACAGTAATGTCTGAGTAATTTGTCCCAGCTCTTCTCTCACTCTGTGGTGTGGAAAATGCTCCATTTCCTCAGGAATGTATCCAACTCAGGTTACCTAATGAGAAGGCAGGATAATGCTATAGCCCTAAGTGATAGTCTTGGGAGTTGTCTCCTTTTTCTGGTGGTCAGTAGTGCAAGTCAGAACTGCTTATGGTTCCTTTCCCTTG